ATTTCTTTCTGAAACCAAGCCGAACCCTCAACTTCACCTAAGTGGAATCGGGAATTAATTGAACCTCGGAAGCTGGGCCTGGAGAAGAACAAAGCCTTCAGAAGATCTCAGCTGGTGCAGCTGCTCTTGGCCCAGTTCTGCCTTCGCTCTCTCTGGAGGCCATGTCTTCCTTTGAACATTTCCCCCCAACATTACAACAAATGTGTGGGTGAGGTCAGAAAGAGCTGAGAGCCAAAAAGGGAAGAATTTGAGTAAATTTACTCAAGCGCAAAATTTAAGAGAAAACTTTTATAAAATGTTTTATAGATGGCATTTGGATCCCCAAAAGTATCCCGCATGTATCCAAATTTACAGCCCAAATGTTGGAGAGGTGGAAGTTTAGATGCAACCTATTTTCACATTTGGTGGACCTGTAGAGATATAAAAGCTTTTTGGATTAAGATTTGGTGGAATATTCAAAAGATTTTTAAGAGAAAGATAAAGTTTACTCCGCAGTTATTTTTGTTGGGTATTATTGTAGATTTTGATGTTAAAGAAATGAATTTGATGTTGAATCTTATAACAGCTGCAAGATTATTAGTGGAGCAATATTGGAAGAAAAACTCTCTGCCTACTATGGAAGAATGGATGCTTAAGGTGTCTAATTTAGCAGAAATGGCGAAAATCTCCGCTTATTTAAAGGACCATTCACAAGAAAAATATATTATAGTTTGGAGAAGATGGACTGATTACATTCCAAAGAGATATGAAACTGAAAAGTATTATCTTGCATATGAGTAGATTTTAGATAATTATTAATAGTTTTAATTATATCATTATTTTAGTTTATAATTTGTTAACACTTGTTTTGAAAAGGAGTTAAAGTGTGTTAGGGTTTTGATTGATAGTATAGTTGGTTAATGTTAGTTAGATAGTAATAGTAGTAAAGTTGGAAGGGATCTTGGAGGTCATCTAGTCCAACCCACTGCTCAGGCAGGAAACCCTACACCATTTTGGACAAATGGCTGTCCAGTCTCTTCTTAAAAACTTCCAGTGTTGGAGCATTTACTGCTTCTGGAGGCAAGGAGTTCCACTGGTTAATTGTTCTAACTGTCAGGAAGTTTCTCCTTAGTTCCAGGTTGCTTCTCTCCTTGATTAGTTTCCACCCGTTGCTTCTTGTCCTGCCTTCAGGTGCTTTGGAGAATAGCTTGACTCCCTCTTCTTTGGGGCAGCCCCTGAGATATTGGAATACTGCTATCATGTCCCCCCTTGTCCTTCTCTTCGTTAAACTAGACATACCCAATTCTAGTATTATGTTTGTTTATTTGTTACCCTGTAATCAGCTCTGGGAAGTGGGGGAGGGGGGAAGGGGTGGGAGGGGTTTATATTCTATTAAATTTGTAAAACTTTTTTTTTTTAAAAAAGGGAAGAATTCAAACCAATAAGGATCGCTCACTTTCTGGTGTTTTTCATTGCTGTACTGGAATATCCAGTCTCTCCAGAACAAAACACCCCCCCCCCCCTGCACAGGCCTTGTTTTCTGGCCTATAGTTCAGAATAGGCAGAACATAATAAATCAGCTCACTATGCCATGTGTGTGTCAAGGCTTCTGAAGGACACTGGGCAATAAATGCCATTTAAATGACATGCTTCAAATTCTCGTCTGAGCAAATGGGACAAGGACGTGCACCACCAGCCACCTTGTCCTTGTTCAATTTACTCAGAAGAGAATTTGGTAATGACTTACAAGGCCTTGGTAAGGCCACATTTGGAATCCTGCATCCAGTTTTGGTCACCACGATGTAAAAAAGATGTTGAGACTTTGGAAAGAGTGCAGAGAAGAACAACAAAGATGATCAGGGCACTGGAGGCTAAAACATATAAGGAACGGTTGCTGGAATTGGGTATGTCTACTTTAATGAAGAGAAGGATGAGGGGGGACAGGATAGCAGTCTTCCAGTATCTCAGGGGCTGCCCCAAAGAAGAGGTAGTCAAACTCTTCTCCAAAGCACCAGAGGGAAGGACAAGAAGTAATGGATGGAAACTCATCAAGGGGAGAAACAACCTAGAACTAAGGAGAAACTTCCTGACAGTGAGAACAATTAACCAGTGGAACTACCTGCCTCCAGAAGCTGTGAATGCTCCAACACTGGAAATTTTTAAGAAGAGACTGGACACCATTTGTCTGAAATGGTATACGGTTTCCTGTCTGATCAGGGGGTTGGACTAGAAGACCTCCAAGGTCCCTTTCAGCGGTATACGGTTTCCTGTCTGAGCAGGGGGTTGGACTAGAAGACCTCCAAGGTCCCTTCCAGCTCTATTCTATTCGAAATTATTCTAAAATCAGCTAGCAACTGGCCTTTGCCACCCCCTGCATCGCAACCTAGCAGTGGTAGTTATAACACATTCCAGAAGAGTAGAGTCGGAGCAAAACAAGAGACCAGCCTCCAGTGCAAAAGTGTGCGTATGTGATGATATGTCGAGCAGAAGGCCAAAAATAGTCGGAGTCAGCCACGCTTGGCATCCAACTGATCTCCTGCCATTTCAGGCTGCATTTTTAAACAAGGCCATTTCCGTATCAGGTGTAAAAATTCATTTTCCACCCCACCTCCCCTTCGCCCTTGCTTCTCTGCGTGCTTTGGATTTTTCGCTCGCCAAGTCTTCTAATTTTCCTCATGGGAGGAGAAAAGAGCGAGTAGGAACGAGGTGTACTGGAGGGCTGCCTGTTCTACAGCAGCTTGTAGAATTTCAGCATACATCATACATACCGACCCATCTGGGAGCAGATCAACAAACCAGTTGTTATTTTTGTGTTCCCTTTTGGGCTTTGCCCAGGACTTAACTACCAGTGCCAAGAGCAGACGGCGTTACAACAGGCAAGCTGGGATTTGTAGCATAACTCGGAGATCTCCAATCTTTCTCAGTTTGGACCGGTGGGAAAGGGAGGGGGCAAGCATTTTACGCGTGCGTGCACACAATCGGGGCCATCAGCACACGCGACACAAACGGCGGTGCTAGCGCCCGTGTGGCACTCGCTAGCACTGCCCCATTTTTGCTGCGTGGTGCCCTGTTTTTCATTGCACGGCGCCCTGTTTTCACCACACACTGCCCCGTTGGTGTAACGGCAGTGATGCTAGCTTGGATGGGGATGAGTGCATGCGCACATGTGCACACTAGCCGGCCTATTCTACGCCCCGGTGGCCAGTAGGCCACGGCCCGGTACTGGGTCGCATCCCACAGATTGGGGACCCCTGGTGTAACTGAGTCACGCGGGAAAAAGGATGGGAGGACTGCAAATGTTGTGGCTTCTGATTTTACAGAATCCCCAATGAGAATGCAGTCTTCCTGGAAGTAGGCCTGTGCGTGCAATTTTAAACGTAATCCTCCTATGTGGTGGTGGCGGTGACTTCAATACCCATACGGTCTGGGGATTCTGGGTGTCGCAGTCCCAACCCATCCTCGGGGGGCGAGGGCAGGACAGGCCAAGCTGACGGGACAGGGCCAGAGGCACCAAGGGTGTGTGGACGCCCTTTGTAAAAGAAGTCGTGTTGCATCTTCTCTGCAAAGGGAGCCCGCCTGAATATTGTGTTCTGGTTAAGCAGAAAGGTAGAGAAATTAGGTTCTTGACTCAGAAGACCAGATAGAGCAGTGTTTCTCAACCTTGACAATTTTAAGGCATGTGGACTTCAACTCCCAGAATTCCACAGCCAGCAACGCTGGCTGTGGAATTCTGGGAGTTGAAGTCCACATGCCTTAAAATTATCAAGTTTGAGAAACACTGAGATACAGGGAGTCCTTGACCACAACTGAGCCCAAAATTTATGTCGCCAAGAGTGATATTTGTTATGTGAGTTTTGCCCCGAGTTTATGCTCTCTTGCCACCGGTGTTCATCACTGCTGTTGCTAAGTTAGTAACACGGTTAAGTGAATCCGGCTTCCCCATTGACTTTGCTTGTCAGAAGATCACGGAAGATATTCACATGACGCCGGGATGCTGCAACAACAACAACAACAACAATAATAATAATAGAGTCGGAAGGGACCTTAGAGATCATCTAGCCCATCCCCCTGCTCAGGCAGGAAGCCCTATGCTGTTTCAGATAAATGGCTGTCCAGTCTCTTCTTAAAAACTTCCAGTGTTGGAGCATTCACTGCTTCTGGAGGCAGGCGGTTCCACTGGTTAATTGTTCTAAGTTTCTCCTTAGTTCCAGGTTGCTTCTCTCCTTGATTAGTTTCCATCCGTTGCTTCTTGTCCTGCCTTCAGGGGCTTTGGAGAATTGCTTGACTCCCTCTCCTTTGGGGCAGCCCCTGAGATATTGGTCATCTAGTCCAACCCCCTGCTCAGGCAGGAAACCCTAGACCATTTCGGACAAAGGGCTGTCCAGTCTCTTCTTAAAAAGTTCCAGTGTTGGAGCATTCACCGCTTCTGGAGGCAGGTAGTTCCACTGGTTATCATTCCTTTGGTTATCATTATTCTATTCTATTCTATATTATTATTCTATTCTATTCTATATTCTATTCTATTCTATATTATTCTATTCTATATTATTATTATTATTATTCTATATTATTATTCCATTCCATTCCATTCTATATTATTATTCTATTCCATTCCATTCCATTCTATATTATTATTCTATTCTATTCCATTCCATTCTATATTATTATTCTATTCTATTCCATTCCATTCTATATTATTATTCTATTCCATTCCATTCCATTCTAGTTTTGTGGAACAAATAATAGGTGAAAGATGAGGTGCCTTTAAAATAACTAGGATGACACCTGCTGGTGATGTTGTACTTTAAGAATCTTGTCAGCATCTCCTCTTAAATATCTGTTTTCACGGGATTAAAGGTTAATTGGGAAATATCTTTCCACATAGCTAAAGTCATTAGAGGAACATTTTAGCTGCTGCTTTGCTATAAATAAGGATGGCTTTCGCTGAGTAGAAGACTTTGAGAAGTTTGTGAGTTCTTTTTTGCTTGCATAGTATTTACAGTCTCTAAATCTGCCTTCAGCTGAAACCTTGATAGCCAGGAGCGACTCAGCAAGATTCTGTGAAGGGATCATTTCTCTTGATTTCAGAACTACCGGTGAGTCAACCAGAAGGCTGATCCTTAACAATAACAACAATAATAAGAATGTTGGAAGGGACCTTGGAGACCATCTAGTCCAACCCCCTGCTCAGGCAAGAAACCCTAGACCAGTGGTTCTCAACCTTTCTAATGCCGCGACCCCATAATACAGTTCCCCATGTTGAGGTGACCCCCAACCACTTATACATCACCCGGTGCCAGGGGTGTGGCCAAAGAAAAGGGGGAAAAAATGGCGGACAGCCTTGTTTGGCGACCCCCGTGAAATGGTCGTTCGACCCCAAATGGGGTCCCGACCCACAGGTTGAGAACCACTGCCCTATACCATTTCAGACAACTGGCTGTCCAGTCTCTTCTTTAAAAACTTCCAGTGTTGGAGATTCTAGAGGCAGGTTGTTCCACTGATTAATTGTTCTGATTGTCAGGAAATTCCTCCTTAGTTCCAGGTTGCTTCTCTCCTTGATGAGTTTCCATCCGTTGCTTCTTGTCCTACCTTAAGATGCTTTGGAGAATAGCTTGACTCCCTCTTCTTTGGGGCAGACCCTGAGATACTGGAAGGCTGCTATCCTGTCCCCCCCTCATCCTTCTCTTCATTAAACTAGACATCCCCAATTCCAGCAGCCGTTTCTGATATGTTTTAGCCTCCAGTCCCCTAATCATCTTTGTTGTAAGATGTTTCTCTTTCCTGCACAATTTCCATTTTTTTTTTGCCTTGTGGCCTTGACCTCGGTGTAACTCACATTTGCCATCAAGGAAGCTCTTTGAATCGGACCTAATCTTTGCATGCAATAGGATGAGATGGTAGAGTCTTGAGATATGGACTATTGTCCATCTGTATTGTCAAACCTCCTGTACTGTTTCTCTCCCAGGCACAGTGGCTGAGGAATTCTGGGTGTTGAAGTCCACAAGTCATAAAAGGGCCATGTTTGAAGACCCCTGCTATATTGTTTTTTGTTTTTTTTAAAGTATTTTATTAGTTTTTTATCATTACAATTCATTTGTGTTGTCTGGGTTGGTTTTTGCCTAGTCACAAAGGTTAAATTCTTTATCCCGCTTTTTCCACCCTTGATAAAATAAGTTCCATGTTTGAAAGTATTCTCTATCTTCTTTTCCTTTGATTCTCAATGCGAGTCTGTCCATTTCTGCACAGTCCCAATATTTTCTTAATGATCGCTTCCTCCGATGGCGTTGTCTGGTTTTTCCAGTGCTGCGCAAATATAATCCTGGCTACCGTTAATGCATGTCGTGTTAAATATCATTTTTCCCGCATTTTTAGAGGGCTGAGGAGACTCGCTTATTCCTTTGTGGTCCTTATCCACTCCAGTTAATGATTTGCCATCCCATCATCGCCACACACACACACACACACACACACACACACCCCTGCTCCCCCATGTCATGTCATGCTCAGCATTGTCCAGCTGTCACTTCTTTAAAAGCCATCCCAGTGAACAATGCTCCTCCATGGCTTCTCTCCATTGTCCGCTGCAACGGGGGGGGGGGGGACACACAGTGAATTTGCCTCTCGGGTCACCTTCTCCTTCCAAAAGCTTTTGCCTTTTTTTTTTTTTTAGAGTGATGTTATTGTAAAGGTTTTTTTCCCCCTTATATTAGTAGTTAATTGTGAATATGAACTGTGATGTATGTCAAATCTGATTTACCATGTCCAATGTTTTTAATTTTTGTTATTCAATAAAAAATATTTTAAAAAAACAAAAGCTTTTGCCTTTTGTTTCTTGGCGGATCAGTCCGAAATTTTACAACAGGGATCCCCAATCCGTGGACCGGTACCGGGCCACGGCATGCTAGCAACCGGTCCGCACAAGCACACAAATCCCCATCCGTGGGATGCAGGCAGTACACAAAACCTCCAGTCCATGGAAAAACCTCTCCCCACGGAACCGGTGATCCCTGGTGCCCCAAAGGTTGGGGGGATCTCTGCTTTATAACACGGAGGTTGGAGACTCTCTCTGTTGCCCTTTCTCCCTCTGCCCCCCAACATTTTAAAGAGCAGGCTTCATCAATTTGGAGCATTTTGTTCCTGCCCCTTCTCCCCCCCCCATCCCCTGCCTTTTATTTGTCGACCTTGGAAATGCTTTGTTTGCCCCACTGATTGGGCTTCCCTGTGACTCCTCAGTACACAGGCTGTTCTGGAGCACACCTGGAATCCTGCATCCAGTTTTGGTCACCACGATGTAAAAAAGATGTTGAGACTCTAGAGTACAGAGAAGAGCAACAAAGATGATCAGGGGACTGGAGGCTAAAACACATAAGGAACGGTTGCTAGAATAGGGTATGTCTAGTTTAATGAAGAGAAGGACGAGGAGGGACATGATAGCAATCTCTCAGGGGCTACCCCAAAGAAGAGGGAGTCAAGCTATTCTCCAAAGCACCTGAAGGCAGGACAAGAAGCAACAGATGGAAAGTAACCAAGGAGAAAAGCAACCTGGAACTAAGGAGAAATTTTCTGACAGTGAGAACAATTAATCAGTGCCTCCAGAAGTGGTGAATGCTCCAACACTGGAGGTTTTCAAGAAGAGACTGGACAGCCATTTGTCTGAAATGGTGGTAGGGTCTCCTGCTTGGATGGGGGATGGACTAGCAGATCTTCATGGTCCCTTCCAACTCTGTTATTCTCTTATTCTGATTTTGTGTGCCCAGCCTGCATTTAGGGCTGTTGGCAACATCTTGTGGTCCTGTGATTGATTTACAACAGGGGTCTTCAAACTTGGCAACTTTATGACTGGTGGATTTCAGCTCCCAGAATTCCCCAGTCAGCCCTTGATTTACAAGATTTTTGCTAGAAACTGGCATTTCCTTTTTCCAAGAAAAAAAATGGCCCCTAGCAAACAATGGCTTTGATTAATGACCACTGTGCTTGCTTAGCGACTGCCCTATTTACTTTACAACCGCTGTGTTTGCATAACATTCCTGCGTGTTAGCTTACAACTGCCACGTTTGCTGAATGTCTGCCACTAAAAAAAGGTAGTAAAATCAAGCCGTTCCCGTGGTGACCTGCTTTACAGCCCATCGTGACTTAGGACCGTAATGGTCAGACTCGGTTACAGTCGTAAGTCAAGGACTGCCTAGACAGCCACGAAATGCCAGCTCTAAAGCTGGGACTGCACACATTTCATCCACGCAAACGTTGAGAATTGGCATCCACGTATCATCCCGGGAATACATGATGGTTTTTTGGCCCTTCTCCAAGCATAATAAACCCAAAGTTCTTTGTAAATAGGCAAATTCCAGATTTTTAGAATATGTTTTTTTTTTTTTGGCAGCACGTTGACACCTTTTAAATCTTGGCTGGCTCCCAAAGGAGCAGATTTATCGTAATAACAAAACTGCAAGGAAAAGGATTGAAGCATGTCGCAGAGGAGCCAGGCAGCTGAAAACCATTATGATAGCAATTTTGATGATGATGATGATAATTTTGTTAGATAGTTCCCAGTGTTCAAGTCTGTCCAGATCCTCCTGTATCTTAAGCCTGTCTTCTGGAGTGTTGGCTATTCCTGCCAGCTTGGCGTCGTCTGCAAATTTGATGAATTCCCCATCTATCCCCTCGTCCAAATCGTTGGTGAAGATGTTGAAGATGCAGACTAGCCAAACCCCACAGCCAGAAGAGGGTGCCAATTGTCTACTAGAACAGAGCCCCCCAATCTTTGGGGTACCAGGGACCTGGTCCGTGGAGAGAGGTTTTTCTGTGAACCGGAGGGTGTGTGGTTTTGTGTGCTGACTGCATCCCACGGATGGGGCTTGTTTGTGCGGCCTGGTTGCTGGCATGTTGTGGTCTGGTACCGGTCCATGGACCAGGGTTGTGGACCCCTGTACTAGATGGAACGGGAAGAAAAACTAAACACTAGGTGGGGGTTTTAAAGATTCTGTGTGTTTGGGTGTGTGTGTCTCAGAAAGAGAGGGAGGGAGGGAGGAAAAATAAGAAGACCAATTAAACCTGATACTTTCTCAATATTGTAAATGAGGAAGTCTTATTGTTTAACTAAGCAAGTCTTCGAGCGGGAAAACCTCTGTGCCAGTGTAGATTTTCAGTAAAGTATTATATATACTCTTGGTAAAATAATAATAACAATAACAATAAAGTTGGAAGGGACCTTGGAGGTCATCTAGTCCAACCCCCTGCTCAGGCAGGAAACCCTATACCATTTCAGACAAATGACTGTCCAGTCTCTTCTTTAAAATCTCACCACTTCTGGAGGCAGGTTGTTCCACTGGTTAATTATTCTAACTGTTAGGAAGTTTCTCCTTAGTTCCAGGTTGCTTCTCTCCTTGATGAGTTTCCACCCGTTGCTTCTTGTCCTGCCTTCAGGGGCTTTGGAGAACAGCTTGACTCCCTCTTCTTTGGGGCAGCCCCTGAGATACTGGAAGGCTGCTATCCTGTCCCCCCTCATCCTTCTCTTCCTTAAACTAGACATCCCCAATTCCAGCAGCCGTTCCTTGTATGTTTTAGCCTCCAGTCCCCTGATCATCTTTGTTGCTCTTCTCTGTACTCTTTCTAGTCCAGTGGTTCTCAGCCTGTGGGTCGGGACCCCATTTGGGGTCGAACGACCATTTCACGGGGGTCGCCAAACAACGCAGTCCGCCATTTTTTCCCCCTTTTCCTTGGCTGTGCTCCTCCCTTTTATTCTCTTGGCTTTTGAAAGCCAATAGAATAGACTCTCTTGAATAGAGTCTAATTCTATTGGCTTTCAAAAGCCAACAGGAATTGTCCAGGCTGTCTCTGCCCTGCTGAGCCCGCCAAAAGTCCCATTCTGCAAACGGTGCTGCACTAGTTGAGTAGTCCTCGACTTACGACCGGTTGAGTAGTCCTCGACTTATGACTGGTTGGGGGTCGCGGCATTAAAAAGGTTGAGAACCACTGCTCTAGAGTCTCAGGAGTTTCTTTTTCTGGAAATGCTAACTGGACAGTTGATAAAAATCCTAAATATGACTTATCCATCTTCCGGGATTTCTTACAAAGGCTCAGGTGCAAAAACCACACGTTAAGTTGCAGTTCTAAAAAGATTTGTTACTCAAAACAATAAAGAATCTGATCAACTGGTAGAGCACGGCCGTGTGTTCAGTGATCATTCAAAGTTACAATGGCACTGAAAGAACCCGTTGTTCACACCTGTGACTGTGGCCGCATCCCTGAGGCCACGTGATTCAGAACTGGGATGCTTGGCAACCGGTTCCTATTTATGACGGCCGCAGGGACCCCGGGATCACGTGATCTCCTTTTGCGACCCTCAGACAAAGTCAATGGGAAAGTCAGATTCGCTTAACAGATGGGTTCCTAACTTTAACAAGGGCAGTGATTCGCTTAGCAACTGTGGGAGGAATGGTTGCTAAATGGGGAAAAACCTGCTTAACAACCATCTTGCTTAGCAATGGAAATTTTGGACTCATAAGTCATAATTTGTGGGCATAAGTCAAGGACTACCCGCGTGGGTTTTGCTAGGGCAGGGGTAGGCAACCTTGGCTCTTTTATGACTGGTGGACTTCAACTCCCAGAATTCCTGAGCCAGCCTGGGGGAACTACGGCCCCCTCATGACTCATGGACTTCAGCTCCCAGAATTCCTGAGCCAGCCTGGCTCAGCTTGGAAACCTCTCCCTTTCCCCTCAGCCTGGCTGGCTCAGGAATTCTGGGAGTTGAAGTCCACCAGTCATCAAAGAGCCAAGGTTCCCCACCCCTGATCTAGACTCTAGGCCTAGGGTAGGGGTCTTCAAACGTGACCCTTTTGTGACTTGTGGACTTCAACTCCCAGAATTCCTGAGCCAGCATGGCTCATCTTGAAAACTCTCCCTTTCCCCTCAGCATGGCTGCCTCAGGAATTCTGGGAGTTGAAGTCCACAAGTCATAAAGTTGCCAAGGTTGCCTACCCCTGGGCATGGGTGACAGCCAGCAGGGCCTCCAGATACAAATTGCCTGGATTCAGCTGATGACCTTTTGATAATTAAACCTTTCATCGTTTTTTATATCTTCTGGCAGACACTCAAACACACACGCCTCCTGTTTTGGGTTAATAATTTTGTTCTAGGACAGGGATAGGCAACCTTGGCTCTTTTATGACTGGTGGACTTCAACTCCCAGAATTCCTGAGCCAGCCATGCTGAGGGGAAAGGGAGAGGTTTCCAAGCTGAGCCAGGCTGGCTCAGGAATTCGGGGAGTTGAAGTCCACGAGACATAAAAGAGCCAAGATTCCCCACCCCTGGTCTAGACTCTAGGCCTAGGGTAGGGGTCTTCAAACTTGGCCTTTTTATGAGTCGTGGACTTCAACTCCCAGAATTTCTGAGCCAGCCATGGCTCAGCTTGGAAACCTCTCCCTTTCCCCTGAGCATGGCTGGCTCAGGAATTCTGGGAGTTGAAGTCCACCAGTCATAAAGGACTGTATCCCTGTAGGGGAGTACATGGAATGTATAAAATGTCTCAGTCACTAGATTATAATTTTCTTTCTTTATTTTTTTTCCCTCTCCCCACCTTAGGACACGGCAATTCTCGGTTCATCGCAGAGGGGGATGGAAAATTCTTCCGTGGCTTCTGCCTCTTCTGAGGCAGGAAGCAACCGGTCGCAGGAAATCGAGGAGCTGGAAAGATTCATCGACAGCTATGTTTTGGAATATCAAGTCCAAGGCTTGCTGACCGAAAAAAGCGAAGGGGATGAAGAGAACGAGAAAACACAGTCCAATATCTCGCAGGTGGGTAGCGGACCTGGAGTGGGTCACTCCCACGGGCTTCAAAGCACAAAAAGGGGCATAACAGTAGTGAGAAGAAGGACAATCCCTGCAGAACTGAATGTTGGATCGGTTCGAGACAGTTCCAAGCGGTGTGTTTTAAATCGGGCGTGGACACCGTTTTAACAAACCAGCAAGTTTGCGGGATCCAATCTGGATCGGTCACCGGGACCAGAGTTTTTTGTCTTCCGAGTTTTCGGAGTCGTGCTGGGAGCCATCTTTGGGGAACTTCTCTCTAGCAGAGTGTGTGCTGTTCTGTGGGTGGTATTTGTAGTGTCCGTTGTGTGTGGTTTTTTATCAACTGTCCAGTTGGCATTTCCAGAAAAAGAAACTCCTGGGACATGATTTTACCAAGAGTATAATTGTTGTTGTTGTTGTTAGTTGCGAAGTCGTGTCCGACCCATCGCAACCCCCTGGACAATGTTGCTCCAGGCCTTCCTGTCCTCTAACCATCTTCTGGAGTCCATTTAAGTTCACACCTCCTGCTTCAGTGACTCCATCCAGCCACCTCCTTCTCTGTCGTCCCCTTCTTCTCTTGCCCTCCATCTTTCCCAGCATCAGGCTCTTCTCCAGGGAGTCCTTCCTTCTCATTAGGTGGCCAAAGGACTTGAGTTTCAACTTCAGGATGTGGCCTTCTAAAGAGCAGTCGGGGTTGATCTCCTCTAGGACCGACCGGTTGGATCGCCTTGCAGTCCGAGGGACTCGCAGGAGTCTTCTCCAGCACAACCTTGTGCTGGACTACTTGCAGCCAGAGGCTGCTGGAGGGGTGTGTGTGTCGCCACTTTGCTCTGGGACTTGCCAGAGATGTAGGAGCGTTTGGGGAACATTTGGAGCAATAAAGGGTCAGTTTGAACTGTCAGCTGATTGTGTTGCCGCTGTGCCGTGCCCCAGGTCATCACACTGGATGTCATTTCCTTGTGCTGCTCAGCCCTCATCTTCTAAGTACTTGGTAGGCTGGTGGTAAATCAGCCCTCCCGTTGACTAACAAGGGGCCTGTTTTCCCAGGCTTCCATTGCTTCCCTGGCTGTTTTTGCGCCTGCTCGTCCAACAATCTTGGTAGCTACGAAACTGAATGTGTGTCCCTGTTAATTATAGTGTGAGGCTACCAATGAATTTGGGTCTCCTCATCTGACCACTTGCTCGTGTTCTTGCAACCTGGTGGTTAGCTTCCTCCCCATCTGAAGCAGGTTCGTTTGGAAGCTGAAAAGGAACGGTCAGGGACTGCGAGATGGACAGCAAATCAATTTAATAATAATAATTAATAGGAATAATCGGTCACCAGGGTGGGTTTGGGGCAAATCTTCTCAGTCTCTAGGAAGGTGTTTTTAGGAATAAAAGTTAAGAATGGTGTGTTTGGCAGATCAGTCTCGAAAAAAATCAAACCTGACTGAAGAACCTCTGATTAGCCCCTGATTACTTTCAGTTACCCAGAGGCCACACGTGGGATCACTGGCTCCCTGCAGGTGGCTTAAGAGCCAGTGTGATCTAGTGCAGTGGTTCTTAACCTTTTTGAACGAATCGCCCCCTTGAGCCAATGAGGAAGTTGTCATCGCCCCCTCCCCCAACATAACCTCTCAATCACAACATGGGAAGTAATTCTTCAGTTTATGCAAACGCTTGTTTTGTTTTCTTTAAAATTGTCATCAGGACATATCGATGCAAATAATTTATTTCCAGTCTTTTCCCCATATCTCAACTGTGTGAAAAATTTTGGCGCCACCCGTCACTTTATTCCCAAACTTCTTGATACATGTATTTCATTATGATCTTATTTATTCAAGACACTTAAATGTAATGACCACTGAAAACAAAATTCAACGGCAAGAAAGTGAAATGCCCGAAAAGAAAAACAGTGATATTTAATGATTGAATTACAAGTGAAATTTAAGACGCAAAAAGAAATATAAAAAGGGTAGAGGCTGCTACGCAAGTGTGTATTCACATATGTATGGCGTTCTGTGCTGAAGCTAGCTGGAGAAACATTTGAAAACAATTCAATCCACTAAGAGCGAGCGCGATCTGATGTTTTTGTACGACAGATATACAGCGATTCACTGTATGAAAAAGTCTCAAAAGTGTCCCCAAAACTTCTCGCTCCATCGCCCCCATATCGCCCCCTTTTCATTCCATCGCCCCCTGGGGGTCGATATCGCCCAGGTTAAGAACCACTGATCTAGTGGATAGGGTCCTGCGCTAGAAACTGGGAGATCGTGAATCCTCCCTTAGACATGAAATCCTGCTGGGTGGTTTGGGGCCAATCACCAGGAGACGGCGAGTTCTAGTCCTGCCTTAGGTGTGAAACCTGGCTGGCTGATTGTGAGCCAATCGTCAGAAGATGGTGATGCCTTTTATTCCTGCCTTAGGAATAAAAGATGGCTGGGTGATTTGGAACCAGACTCTCTTCCCTTCTCCCTCTCTTCCCCCAACCCACCTCATAACGTTATTGTCGTGGGCAAAATAGAATATGACTCCATTTTGTTAAAGGAAATAAAAGATAAGATAACTTTATTGTCATTTTTTTTACTGTGGGCACAACGGCACACATCAAAAATGAAATTTAGTTGCCCGGTCTCAAAGTGAAACACATACACACCTCAACATACTATGTACAACATATATATAGACCCACACCCCTACATATACATAGCAAATAAATATTAAATACTGTCCATCTTGAATATATAACGGAAGGAGGAAGCTTGAGAGTTCACAAGGTTAAAGCTGTACGGAATGAAACCCTGGCTGAATCCGGAGGTTCTGCTACGGATACCACGAAGCCCCCTCCTCCGAGAAGGGAACAAGGAAAACAGGTCGTGAAGAGGGTGTGTAGTGTCCCAGATGATCTTATGGATCCTGCTCAAGCAGCGCTTCTGTGCTATGTCCTGGATGAGAGGGAGGGAATTGCCAATGATCTTTTCTGCCGTCCTCACCACTCTCTGCACCGCCTTCCTGTCCGAAGCAGGGATGCTTCCAAACCAGACTGTGATGCTGTGTGACAGGATGCTCTCAATCGTCCCCCTGTAGAAAGTGGTCAGGACAGAGGAAGGAAGATGTGCTTTTCTCATGCGACGCAGAAAATGCAGGCACTGCTGTGCCCGCTTCCCCAGTGTCACGCTGTTGAGCCACCAAGCCAGCCTACTCGTTAGCTGCACACCCAGGAATTTGATGCTGGTAACCATCTCCACAGGTGAATCATTAATGCACAGAGAAGTATGGCTGAGCCTGCCTTTTCTGAAATCGACAATGATCCCTTTGGTTTTTCTGGTATTTAAAACTAGGCGGTTTTCCTTACACCACTTCACCAACCCCTCAACATCTTTGCGCTAAGCTTCCACCTTGTCATCCTGATATATTTTATCTGACTTTATTTAGCCTTACTTAAAATCCTGGACTCCCATCCAAATATTAATGAACTCTGAGCCCACTTAGCTTCTGTTGGTCAACCACAATTGGTTAGGTACCCCACCTGGAAATGCTGTGCCATTTCTTTGGGGTGCCCCGTTCCAGAACCAGCTAGGCCGGACCCTGCTTAGCTTTCAAGCTCCGGTAAGATTGGCCAGGTGCAGTCACCTGTCGACACAGGTATATTATGTGATACAAGGTGTGAAAGAAAGGGTGTTTTTTCTTGAACAGGCCAGCAAAAGCCAACTCTTTTAATTCCCCTCTGGGTGCCTTGCTGTCACTCTTGCCTTATTTCGTTCAGAATTTATTCGTTTGTCCATTAATCAAATTTGCACAGCTGTCCATTGAATCTGGGTGACACACAGCCAAATCCTCCTCCTCTCTTTTCAGTGGACAGTTGACTGCAACCAGGAGATAGAAAGCATGTCCAGCTACAGAGGCAAGGGGTCAGCACCCCATAATCAAAATCAGGTAAGAAAAACTGGATTTTTTAATGCAGAAAAACATCCTTTACTACCAACAGAAGAGAATGTTTGTCGCTTAGGGATGAACTATGGGGTCCTTGGTGCTCTCTGAGCTTGGTTGGGGTTTTTTTTGCAGACATTTCATTACCTACTTAGGTGACATCATCAGTGCTAGAAGGGAGTGGGGTTTCCACTCTTTTTATACATTAAATATTTTTATATTTAGGCTAGAGAGCAGCGGAGTCCTGTTCCTAGTTGTAAAGTAAATCCCATTGACTGAATTCACACCTACACAGACTTCCCTAGGGGAAAAAAAACCCCAGTGGGACCATTGAACAAAGGCAAACCCCGGGTTAACAACGAGTTCCGTTCCTCATTCTAACACAAAAGTTGAATGAAAGTTTCAAATTGCATTTAGGAATGTGCTGCCTACTATTAAAAATGGCAAACAAGGTTTCCTTCCTCAAGGACCCTCACAAATTAACAGAATACCAAAGTTCGAAGGGAGGGACCTTGGAGGTCATCTAGTCCAACCCCTGCTCAGGCAGGAGACCCTATACTATAGGATTTCCTGCCTGAGCAGGAGGTTGGACTAGAAGACCTCCAAGGTCCCTTCCAATTCTATTCTATTCTATTCCATAATTCTATTCTATCCCATAATTCTATTCTGTTCTGTTCTATTCTATCCCATAATTCTATTCTATCCCATAATTCTATTCTGTTCTATTCTATCCCATAATTCTATTCTATTCTATTATTTTATCCCATAATTCTATTCTATCCCATAATTCTATTCTGTTCTGTTCTATTCTATCCCATAATTCTATTCTATCCCATAATTCTATTTTGTTCTGTTCTATTCTATCCCATAATTCTATTCTATTCTATTCTATTCTATTCTATTCTATTCTATTATTTTATCCCATAATTCTATTCTATCCCATAATTCTATTCTTTTCTGTTCTATTCTATCCCATAAATCTATTCTATCCCATAATTCTATTCTGTTCTATTCTATCCCACAATTCTATTCTGTTCTATTCTATTCTATCCCATAATTCTATTCTATTCTATCCCATAATTCTATTCTATTCTATTCTATTCTAATTTTCTATATATTCTATTCTATCCCATAATTCTATTCCATTCCATTCCACTCCACTCCACTCCATTCCTTCCTATCCCATCCCCATCCCTAATCCTATCCTATCCTTTTCTATACGATTCCAGTGGAGCTAAACGATCCTATGGATGCAGCCATTCCGTTTCTTGGAAACTTTACAGGACGTTCTTGACTTAAGGATCGTTCGTTTAGCAACCATTCAGAGTTAAAATGGCATTCAAAAAGAAGTAACTAAAACCCATCCTTGCATTTAACAACCCTCACAGATTAAAATTTGGGTGCTTGGCAGTGGGAAATTCCGATCCCAAATGTGGCTGTAAATTGAGGATTACTTAAATATCAGAACTTAACAGCTTTCAAAACGATGCCAGTTTTTAAGTGAGTTTTGCCCCATTGTACGCCCTTTCTCACCACGGTTGTTACGTGAATCGCTTCAGTTGTTAAGTTAGTAACACGGCGGTTAAGTGAATTTGGCTTCCCCATTGACTTTGTGTGTCAGAAGGTCGCAAAAGGGAGTCACATGACCCCGGGGCGCTGCGACCATCATAAATGTGAATAAGCTGTCAAGCGCAAGAATTTTGACCATGTGCTTACAATGGTTGCAGGTGTCAAAAAAGGTCATTTTTTCAGTGATGCTGAAAAACTTTGAACGGTCACTAAAGCAAGCTGTTGTAAGTCAGGGACCAGCTGTATTAAAAATGTACTGCTGCAAAGCAGACATTTAACCCAGAAGGAAACATCTTGATTTTCTTGTTTACTTCCTTTTTTTTAAAGAACAGCAACAAAAACAGCTCCCTGGACATGCTGGGAACAGATATCTGGGCAGCCAACACCCTGGAGCCCTTCAGGTAAGCCCCCTTTCCCCTCGGTCTGTGGACGGATTTCCCCCCCCCCTCTTGCAGACTGTGTGATTGCCCAAGTGCAGGGGCACCTCAGCACTCGGCTGCTTTGAAACTCACCGAGTCTGGTACTCGTTTTTGACGTGAACATTTTAGAATTTATTGGCTGCCTTGTGACTCATGATGTTATTCCTTATGGGAAAGATTTGCTTGGTACTCATCCATTTTGGTACTCATTGTACCAAAAGGTACCACTGTATTCCACAGTTAAAGCTCCAGCACCTGTATATTTATCTGTCTGTCTGTCTATCCATCCATTTATCTTCTCTCTCTCTCTCTCTCTCTCTCTCTCTCTCTCTCTCTCTCTCTCTCTCTCTCTATCATATCTATCTATCTCCATTTATCTTCTCTCTCTCTGTATCTATCATCTATCTGTCTGTCTGTCTTTTATGTTCTATCATCTCTATATATATCTGTCATCTATCCATCCATTCATCCATTTTTCTTCTCTCTGTATCTATCATCTGTCTATTCTATCATCTCTCTCTCTCTCTGTGTGTGTGTGTGTGTGTGTGTGTGTGTGTGTGTGTGTGTGTGTGTGTGTATATATATATATATATATATATATATATATATATATCTATATATATATATAGGTCTTTGGTTGTTCGGGTTTTCTCCCGCGTAAAATTGGAAGTTCTTGGCGATGTTTCGACGAAACTTCGTCGAAATGTCGCCAAGACACTTCCAATTTTACGTGGGAGAAAACCCGAACAACCAAAGACTACATACAAACACCCGCGAAAACCTCAGAAAACAAATATATATAGATATAGATATAGATATAGATATAGATAGAGAGATAATATCTATGATCTGTCATTTGTCTATCTATCTATCTATCTATCCATTTATCTTCTCTCTCTGTATCTATCATCTATTCATGTTCTGACATCTCTATATCTATTTCCTTCCTTCCTTCCTTCCTTCCTTCCTTCCTTCCTTCCTTCCTTCCTTCCTTCCTTCCTTTTCCTTCCTTCCTTGTGTGCCTAGTGCTCCCAATTCCCTGTTAAACCCAGTTACCATTTTGCACGGTCTTTCCTTCCAAATCTTCAGCCTTTCTGTTTCTCTATTATGATTATTATTATTATTACTACTACTACTACTACTATTATTACTATTATTATTATTATCTTGCAGTGGGGCCACCTGGGATTTGCAACCAGAGAAACTTGACTTCACACAGTTCCATAGAAAACTCCGCAACACTCCAAAGCACCCTCTTCCACAGATAGACAGAGAAGGGTAAGTATCCTGTTTATGTGAAAGGAACAGTTTAAAATGCAGGAAGTTGGTTTTCCTACCTTGGTAACTTTCCCGGCTTTGGCAGTCATTATTTGTTTTATAATTTGAGAAAAACTACCCGGATTATTCTCAAAAAAAAACCCCCAAACCCCATCAATGTCAGCTTTACGTATATGTACAGTTTAATAATAATAAATAAAGTTGGAAGGAACCTTGGAGGTCATCTAGTCCAACCCTCCGCTAGTCCAGGGCTTTTCAACCTTTTCACCCATTGTATTGGTGGTCCTCAGATATGGCAACATCCGAGGACCACCAGTCGCCTAGCAAGGTGTCAAAAACTTAATGACCACAAAAAAAAAAGAAGGAAAAAAGCGATAAAGTACAGGTAGTCCTCGACTTACAACAGTTTGCTTAGTGACTCTTAGAAGTTACAATGGCACTGAAAAAAGTGCCCCCCAAGCCACAGCCGAGCAAGACACCTGCCTGCCTGCCCGGTGGCGCTCTTCCTCCTGTCCGAGGTTTTCATTGTTGTCAGCATTTCTGTTGAGGATTGGCAGTAGGGGTGGGGTGGGGGGTGTTTGGTTTTCATTCTGCTGGGTGGTTGCAGCAGGTTTTGGTCCCTTCCCATGACCCTGGGACACTGTGACCGTCATAAATATGAATCAGTTGCCAGGCATCTGAATGTAAATCACAAGACCCTGGAGAGGCTGCAACATTCCAGCTGATCGGTGCTTCTTCTGAGCTCAGCAGAAGCATCCAGGATCAGTGCTGAGCTCCAGCTGGAAAGCGGCACTGATCCTGGCGCTTCCACTGAGCCCTGACAGCCCTGCAGCTCCAGCTGTCTCTCGCTCAGGCTTCTGCGGTGCTGCCACCGGTTCAGCTCATTCCCCTCCCCCCCTGCTACCCCTTTTCTAGGATGGTCACGTACCACCTGCCAATGGACCACAGGTGGTACCCGTACCACTGGTTGAAAAGCCCTGCACTAGACCATTTCAGACAAATGGCCATCCAGTCTTTTCTTAAAACCCTCCAGTGTTGGAGCATTCACCACTTCTGGAGGCAGGTAGTTCCACTGATGATGATAATAATAATAACAACAAAAACAGAGTTGGAGGGGACCTTGGAGGTCATCTAGTCTATCCCCCTGCTCAGGCAGGAAACCCTATACCATTTTGGACAAATGGCTGTCCAGTCTCTTCTTAAAAACCTCCAGTGTTGGGGCATTCACCGCTTCTGGAGGCAGGTGGTTCCACTGGTCAATTGTCCTCACTATCAGGAAGTTTCTCTTTAGTTCTCGGTTGCTTCTGTCCTTGATTTAGTTTCGTACAGGCAAACTACCTGTTGCAGGTCCATTGATTAGGGAGCTACATCTAGTGCAGCAGCTCCCAATCTTATCTATACCCCGCACCTCTAGAACACTTATGATACATTCTCACACCCCTTATAAAAGTTTGAAATAATGGCAATGAATTATGCATAGACACAATAATTTTAAAAACCCAAGTTTTCGCAGCCCCTGGAATATCGTCTCGCACCCCCAGGGTTGGGAACCTCTGATCTAGTAGGGCCAAGGAACAGGGCCTTGTCTGTGGTGGCTGCCCTCCTTTGAATGCCAGATAAGATTGGCCCCCACTTTGAGCAGGGGGTTGGGCTAGATGACCTCCAAGGTCCCTTCCAACTTTATCATCCTCATCATCGTTGTTGTTGTTGTTTTGTTGTTATTATTATTATTATCTTTTCGAAACGCCTTGAAGATGTGGTTCTGTGAGCAGGCCTAGAGAGTCCAGAGAGATATGGAGCCGATCAAGTGGCTGGTGCTATTGTGTATAGTTGCCACCACTGCCGTGTTTCTGTGTGTGTTATGGATTCTTACACGGTGAATGTTGTAAGCCACCCAAAGTCACCGTGTGTGAGTTGGGCAGTGGTATAAAGTTGCTTAATAGATAAGAGAAGAAGATAAGATAAGATAAGATAAGATAAGATAACCTTTATTGTCATTTTTTTACTGTGGGCACAACAGCACGCATCAAAAATGAAATGTAGTTGCCCGCTCTCAAAGTGAAACACATACATGACACACACCTAAAATGTACTATGTACAACAGATGTATAGACCCCACACCCCTACATATACGTAGCAAATAAATACTAAACACTGTCCATCTTGAATACATAACGGAAGGAGGAAGCTTGAGAGTTCACAAGGTTAAAGCTGTACGGAATGAAACTCTGGCTGAAATAATAACCCAAAATACATGAAATAATGCTTCACTTTGCCCGTTGTCTCTCTCCCTGCTTTAGAATTGGCAAAGGAAAATGTGACGAAGGGGACGGAATCAACTTAAACGACATTGGAAAAGTTCTCCCAGCCTGGCAGGTAAGTTTCCTCCCGTCCCCGAGGATCCGTACTCTTCTTCACTGGACCAAATATTTCGGTCCTAATTAACAGCAAACTGCGCGATAAACTAATACAGGTAATTCTTGACTTAAAACCACTTGTTTAATGAGCGTTTGAAGTTACAACAGCACCGAAAAAAGGGACTTAGGACGTTTTTCACACTTAACCACTGTTGTAGCAACCCCATTTTCATGTGAGCAAAATTCGGACACCTGCCAATCAGCATGTATTTATGACGGTTGCTGTGTGTCCCGGGGTCACGTGACTCTTTTTTGTCACCTTGTGACAAGCAAAGTCAGTGGGGAAGCCAGATTCACCTAACAACTAGGTTACTAACAGGTTACTTAACAGCTGCAGTAAAATGAGGCAAAACTCATTTAACAACTGTGGGAAATTTTGGGCTCAATCGTGTTCGTAAGTCAAGGACGACCCAAATCATTTAGTTATTTGTGTCCTGCCATTATTATTTCAGAAATAACTCAAGGTGGCGAATTTATCCAACACACCTTCCTCCTATTTTCCCCATAACAGCAACCCTGTGAAGTGAACTCACCGTCTCCTGGTGATTGGCCCAAAGACACCAGTCAGCTTTCATGCCTAAGGCGGGACTAGAACTCACCGTCTCCTGGTGATTGGCCCAAAGTCACCCAGTTGGCTTTCATGCCTAAGGTGGGACTAGAACTCACCGTCTCCTGGTGATTGGCCCAAAGACACCCAGTCAGCTTTCATGCCTAAGGCGGGAGTAGAACTCACCATCTGCTGATGATTGGCCCAAACTCACCCAGCCAACTTTCCTGCCTAAGGTGGGACTAGAACTCAACCGTCTCCCTCTTTCTAGCCTGGTGCTCTTAACCGCCAGACCAGTGGTTCTCAACCTCTCTAATGCCGTGACCCCATAATACAGTTCCCCATGTTGTGGTGACCCCCAAGTGGGTGTGGCCACCAATAAGAGGGAGTAGGACAGCTAGGGAAAAGGGAAAAAAATGGCGGACAGAATGGTTTGGCGACCCCCGTGAAATGGTCATTCGACCCCAAATGGGGTCCCACAGGTTGAGAACCGCTGCGCCAGACCAATGGCTCAATGAAACTGGGTCATTTACCTCCCAAATTTCATTTGCCCCCCAAAAGATGTCACGTATGCGTCATTTCCTAGCAGAGACCCTTGGAACGGGAAGCAAAAGGTCAAACAAGTATTGTACTATAATGACACAGGCTCCGCCCTTTTTCTACGCGCATCAGGCCAGTGCTCATTTTGTCGTTTTGATCAAAGCATCGGATCCTGTGGTTACTTTCTAAGATACGTGTGCGGTGATGTAATAGCAATATCCTGAGCAGGGGGTTGGACTGGATGACCTCCAAGGTCTCTTCCAACTTTATTATTATTATTATCCAGACCTTAAGAGGAGATTAAAACTACAGGTAATACTCAGCTTATGACCAATTGCTTAGTAACTGGTTGACGTCGTGACAGACTCCCCAAAAGGTACATAATAATAATAATAATCATCATCATCATCATCATTATCATCATCCCAGACTTGTCAATAAGAAAGACAAAAAAGTCTGGATAGTGGACGGGGCAGTGCCTGGAGACAGCAGAATAGACGAGAAAGAGCTGGAGAAGATAACAAAATACAAAGACCTACAAATAGAAATAGAAAGACTGTGGCAAAAGCAAGCAAGGGTAGTACCAATAGTAATAGGCTCCTTGGGTGCAATCCCAAAACAACTGGAGCACCACTTGAATACCATTGGCATTGACACATTCGCTATTAGTCAATTGCAAAAGGCGGCCTTACTAGGAACTGCTTCCATCCTGCGACGATATCTGTAATACCATCAAACATCCACCTCTGCCTATCCAGGTCCTGGGTAAGGACTCGATAGGTAGACAAAATGCCAAATCCAGTCTGAACATCTGGCTGACTGTGCGGTGATCCATAATAATAAGTTGGACCTTGGAGGTCATCTAGTCCAACCCCCTGCTCAGGCAGGCAACCCTACACCATTTTGGACAAATGGCTGTCCAGTCTCTTCTTAAAAACTTCCAGTGTTGGAGCACTTAAGGGTCATAATGGTATAGGATTTCTTACCTGAGCAGGGGATTGGCCTAGATGACCTCCAAGATCCCTTCCGACTTTATTATTATTATTATTAGATTCAAAGTTACAATGGCCATCTCTCCTCTTCAGTCACATGATCCCATTTTGGGCACTCGGCAACTGTTTTCGAGGTCCCCTAGTCCTGTGACCACAATTTATGATTTTTTTTCTTTCTTTCTTTCTTTTTGGCCAGAAACTAGCTTTTATATTCCATTTCCCAGCAAAAAAAAATGTCCATTGTGAAAATGGGTTCCGCTTAACGACTGCCACGTTGACTTAAAGACCACTGCAAAAAATATCATAAAATCATGTCAGCCGTCTGGGTGCCTCAACCTCTTGATGACCGTGACATAACGATAGAAATTCCGGCCTCCGTTACAGTCGTAATTGCATAGACGTCTTTTTATGCTAGATTTTCTGTTGTGACGTTCATGCAGAATGCTTGGAATGGAAGTTGCCAGCTGCCTTTGTGAATTCTCTCCTTTCCCTCCTTTGCATGACTGCAATTGTCAGAATTCTTTTCCGGGCAAGGATGATGGTTGTCAAGAATCTGGGTGTGTATCCTGGGCTGGGCTCAAGCACTGAAATTTACATTCCAGCTGGAATTTTGTCTGGAAAATTTTCAGGACTATCCTTGCGCCATCTTGTGGCTGTGGATGGACACAGCAGCCCTCAGCTGAAGTTCCCACCAAAAATAGAGACATGGACGTCTTTCTGGTTTTTTCCCCCCCACTTTTGATTTTCTTTATAGCAAAGTTTTTAACTATCCTTGTCCTGCTGGACTCCTTGGAAGCTTTTGAAACTCTCAACCATGGTATCTTGGTTGAATGTTGGTGATACCGTACTGCGGTGGGGCTGCTCCATCCTGAATCGGTGGATCCGCTTGATTTTTGGGTGATAAGAGGAAATAAGTTGGATTCCCTGTTTCTCACAGATAATAACAACAACAACAATACTTGAACACCATTGGCATTGACAAATTCGCTATTAGTCAATTGCAAAAGGCGGCCTTATTAGGAACTGCTTCCATCCTGCGAGGATACCTGTAATACCATCAAACATCCACATCTGCCTATCCCAGGTCCTGGGTAAGGACTCGATAGGTAGACAAAAATGCCAAATCCAGTCTGAACATCTGGCTGACTGTGCGATGATCCATAATAATAATAATAAAGTTGGAAGGGACCTTGGAGGTCATCTAGTCCAAACCCCCTGCTCAGGCAGGAGAACCTATACCATTTCAGACAAATGGCTTTCCAGTCTCTTCTTAAAAACTTCCAGTGTTGGAACATTCACCACTTCTGGAGGCAGGTGGTTCCACTGGTTAATTGTCCTCACTGTTAGGAAATTTCTCCTTAGTTCTAGGTTGCTTCTCTCCTTGATGAGTTTCCATCCGTTGCTTCTTATCCTGCCTTCAGGGGCTTTGGAGAGTAGCTTGACTCCCTCTTCTTTGGGGCAGTCGCTGAGATACTGGAAGGTTGCTATCATGTCCCCCCTCATCCTTCATTAAACTAGACTTAGCCAATTCCAGCAACCGTTCCTTATATGTTTTAGCCTCCAGTCCCCTAATCATCTTTGTTGCTCTTCTCTGCACTCTTTCTAGAATCCCAACCTCTTTTTTACATTGTGGTGTCCAAAATTGGATGCCGTATTCCAAGTGTGGCCTTACCAAGGCCTTGTAAAGTGGTATTAACCCTTCACGTGATCTTGATTCTCTCCCTCTGTTAATGCAGCCTAGCACTGTGTTGGCCTTTTTGGCAGCTGCAGCACACGGCTGGCTCCTATTGAAGGGATCGTCCACTAGGACTCCGAGATCCCTCACAGTTGCTACTAGTGAGCAAGGTACCCCCTATACTGCAGTTCACTTTTCCTGGAACTGCCCTTGAAAACCATCCAGAAACTTCAACTGGTGCAGCGTGCAGCAACCCTCACCGAGCTGTGTAGCTTCCGCCCTGTTGTATCGCAGAATTCATTGCTTGTGTGTTTCAGAGGGCGGTTCAACAAGTTGGTTAGTTTCCTCCTTCCGTATAACATCTTGTCAATCCATCCCAAGACCGTGGAGGTCTTCTGAAGCCCCCCCCCACACACACACACAGGGAGGGACCGAAAAATCTGGCATCCTGCGTGGTTTCCCTTCCCTTTCCTGCTTAGCCCAGAGTGAACCCCGTTTTTGTGGCCTTCCACAAAAGTTGTAAAGATGTGGAGTTTGGGAACATCTTTTGGGCTTGATTCTGGTGCAGCTGCTGACGCCTGATGTCAAATGATCGTGATGTAGTGATCCCTCTTTGATAGACAGCTTGTCCTCCTTACAACCCCTTGTTTAATGACCGTTTGGAGTTGTAATGGCACTGAAAAAAGTGGCCATGATTGTTTTTCACACTTACGACCATAGCAAGATCCCTATGATCAAGGGATAAAAATTCGGACACTTGGTAACTAGCTCATATTTATGATGGTCTCAGCGTCCCTGCAGAGGTGTGTGTGTCATGTGATCTTTTCTGTGACCATCTGACATGCAACGTCAACGGGGGAAGCCCGTTCACTTCACGACCGTGTTACTAACTTAACAACTGCAGTGATTCATTTAACAACTGTGGCAAGAAAGACCGTAATGTAGGGTAAAACTCTCTTAACATCTATCTTGCTTAGCAAGATAGTTATACTCGTAAGTCAGGGACTACCTCTAATAAATTTTATTATGGGTCATTTTTTTTCTTCCATACTTTTGTATTGGCTTTCTACTTGCCCTTGTATACTGCTTTGGAGTCTTTAGATGGGCTATAATTGTCACAAATAAATAGGAATAGAATGTGGAATAGAATAGAATAGAATAAAGATAGAATAGGAATAGAATAAAGATAGAATAGAATAGAATAA